TTAATATCCTTAATCATTATTTTAATTCATTTTAGTTCAAGATAACAAATTAAACAAATACTTATTCGTTTTACTCGCCATCTTTTAAAGCCAATTAAGTTATAGGGTATTTTTTGACAACTTTCTATGGTATCATATTGAAAAAAACTAAAAAAAAATTTTGTAAGCTACATTTAAACAGAAGTTTTTAGCATACTTGAAATTATTTTAAATAGAATTTAATATAAAAACACGTTTCACATTTATAATTTATGAATCATATAAGTGCACATTCCGAGGGGCAGAGGGCATTGCTTATAGGCTTACTTATATCGTGATTGACTTTATAAGCAAGATAAAGAAAGTGTTGGATAAATTTAAAGTAGGCCTGTTTATTTTCGGTGGCGAAATTATAGTTGTTTAAATGAGAAAACAGAATTAGTCAAGCCAATTTTCTTTAGAGTTTGTTAAACTGGGAAATAAATGTCTTTTGTCGAAAATAGAATTACTTAAGTGTATTTTCTCTCTTTTGTCATCAAGATTACGTCTACATTATTCTAATGGCAAAAACCTAGAATGCTTTTTTGAAAAGAGAAATTCAAAAATCTTTCCATTTTATCCAGCTTCTCTGTTTACAAGATTTTTACATGGCTTTAAAATAATTTATCACTATTATCGATAAAAATAATTTAATGGTTCGGCCTAGTTATAATAATAATATAGTAGTGAAAGAAATTAACTTTAGCGATTATTAACGTCGGCGTTGACAGTTATTACGCAAGAGAAAGGTGAACGCGTCGACAATTAGACGGACCGTAATCGACTCATTCAACTTAGAATAGCCAGACGTCACGAAGTCACGAGTCCATCACGCTCACGGGGCACTTTTTGTTTAGAGTTTCTTCGCTCTGCAGGTGTCCGAGAATGTTTACTTTTACTCATTATAGGTTGTCGATCTACAATTTTTTTCCGTAGCAGCCCGCCTCTCCTAAGCAATAGGCGTTCTCATGATAAATGCACGATCAAATACAATCACGTTAATAACACATTGTCCGTGCGCTTAGCATAGCTCATCTCTCTTTGCTTTGTTAGCAACATCACGGACGTGTGAATGGCCAAGCAGTGCTATAATGAGAGATGATGTGTTTTCGAGAGCGTAACCTTATTTTGATTTGTAAGATGTCCAGACGTTCTAGCATTAATCATCTTCTTCTTCTTCGGTAGACGGTTTTATCATTTTTCATCGTCTTTCAATTCCGTGCTCTTCACATTGGATTCTCTTACATAAACGTCCCCACAAGTTTGTAGCCGACCTTAATTCCTATCATTTATTTTTAAAATTTGTGAGGCTCGTCTGCTTGGAAAGATGTTCGCGATGAAATCTGGCAGGTTTCTTCTCCGCCAATTTCACTTTTTTAATGTTTAAATAATGACCGCAATTGATCTGATTTTTTAATACCATTCGATAATCTATTTTTATACAAATTTTTAAAACATCTGTTTTATCATTTTTTCAATTAAAATCATATTTTTAAATTATTTTTCTTTATAGGATAGTTTTATTACGCACGTGTTTATATGTCTAACGATTAAAACAAGTTAAAATGATAAAATTTAAATGAAATCTGTCAAATTATCATGTTTAATACGTAAAAATGTATATAATAATTAGCTAATACTGACTGAAGTAGATAGTTTAAAAGTATTAGCAAAATAAATTAGCATAAGTCTTATAAATCATTTTACTACTCGCTTCCTATTCAGAAAAATCTTTAGAACTACTCCAAAAGCCAAACAAAAGATCTTTAAGCATGATCAACAATGTTGTCTATTTTTATAGCTAGCTTAACTACATATACTCACAATCCATTGTCAAACTTAAAAATTTCCTCATGATAAAAAATCTTCCCGTTAATCACTTATGTTAATTGCTTATTAAAAGTTTACTAACTTAAATAAAATACAGATTTTAGTATAATGGCTGCACATAACTGCGACTAGCTTATTCAGAACAACATTAGGAATGTTGCTTTGTCATATCATTTCAACTTAGTCATTTCCATTTCAAAATAATAAAAATCGAAAACAGTTTTTTTTTCTTTATTTAGGATTAAATAATCATTACAAAGAAAGAATTTTTATATTTTGATTTGCAAAAATTATTTCGATGTTTAGTATTGAAAGCGATGGTCGACTCGTTTAATAAACAATTTAAAAACCGAATGCAAAAGATAGGCTATATAAAAAAAAAGTTAAAAGTCGTAAATTGTCATAAAGTCGACAATTATTCTTTTCGTTCTCTTACGGATGTTAAACTTACCATGCGTAACGCGCAAACTCCAAAACGTCTTTATGGGCAAACCTCTCTCATTTTGATAGTTTTGACACTTTTGACATCCAAATGCTTCTCTATGATCCGTGACAACGTTTACAAAACGTGGTACTATCAAACCGGATTCAGTTGAAAGAAAGAGGATTAATATTGGACATAGTTTCGAACGAATTTCCATAATTTCGCTTTTAAATTTTAATAAGGTTTTAATGGAAGAGATTACAAATAAATATATTTTTGTCTAGGAAAAAAAGTGGTGTTATTTAAAATCGCAAGCCAATAGTCAACGTGACATTGTGAAAAGATTTGTCTCCTTATTAACTGAACGTACGAGAACTCCCCGAACAGTTTTTTCTGTGTTCAGTAAAGACAATGGAACTGTTTTACAACATTTTTCCTTTATCCTAACGAGAAATGGCAGTTCGGAAATAAACCAGTTGCCATCGAAGTGTTACGTAATTAATACTGGTTTGTTTCATCAGACGGCTATGGACGCTGAAGAACTGATATCGGAAATCAAATACAATTTACAAGGTCTGTTTTATCACTGCTTTTTTATGTTACTTATCTACCGTCCGAGGACTTACACCTAGTTTACTCTTAATCACCTATCACTCCAAACTGCGCATTTTTATTGTGTTTAACTATAGATTAAGTTTAGTTTTTACTACAGCTCGGGGGCCTATCACTTCCTCTATATATAAAAAAGCCTATAGTTAAGTATTTAAGAGCGTTAGAAGTGTTCAATCACTGATATAAACACTAAATTAAAAACGTTTTAAGTCTCGATTGATATACGCAATCCTTTTATTTTGAAAGTAATGTTCAAGAGAAAACGAAGGTTTTTGTGAGTATTGTTCTTTCTTTTCCGTTTTAATAATATATTTTAATTTTGATTTAGTTTCCCAACTCAATGTCTCAATCGTGACGATACGTTTTGTTTCCACACTGCAATTTTTATAAAATATAATACCAGGCTTTATTATTCTTCGAAATATGGTTCCTATTTAACTAGATACAATGCACTATAATCTGTTTAATATACTCGGAGCCAAAATCCGGTAGAGAGGCACGATAGGCTCATATCGTTTAACTTAATGTTCTGTTGATCCCTTGGGTCCATTTTTCCTCCTACGGGTTGCATTTAAAGGGGATCTTTAATTTAAAAGAGAATTTTCATTTTTTCTTCTAATTTAATGAACTTGGATGAAGATGGGCTTTAATACGAAAACCCAAACGAGGTTGACATTAATCTTTCGTCGGTTGTAAAATTAGCATTTCTGAAATGGTCTTCTCGATTATCATTTGATTAATCATCTGCTATTAAAAGATGCATTTGTCATTGTTGGTCGCTGACTTTTTAGCTGTTAAATTATTCATTCAAATATAATAATTGTCACGCGTTTTATGCTTTTTTCGCGTTTATGTACTCATAATTTGGCATCTAAACGGGTGTTATACACGCAATTCGTGCAATGTGCTTTGTAACTCTTCATAGCTTATATTTGATTCCGATTGTCGGAATCACATCATAGTATTATTGATGATAAATCTATAAAATTGCTGTCTATCGGACTGTGTTTTCGTTCGTTTCACTTTCAATTGTATCTCGTTCACTAATCGCGATACACTTCAGCTTTGTTCAAAACATTCATTCTTTATCGGCCCAATTTTGGTACATAGGCCTTTCAAAAGTAGTTTATTTGTAAAAAAAAAAAAATATTTCAGAATAATAGAAAGATCTAACGGCATTGAAATGCTAGGCTTTGATTTTAAGGAACTTAATTTAAATAAGGTTTATAAATCTATTAATGATATGCGGCGTGTTAAATTTATATATGCATTAATGTAATCATTAAATTAGTTTATTCCATTTTGCTTACATTTTATGTAGGCCTAATATGTAAATTTTAATTTTTAATATTGTTTATAAACAACAATGACTATTAGACTATTAAACATAAATTTTTGTAACTTATTCGAGCTTTATATTTACGTAGGGTTTTAAAGCAATTATTGCGTAAAAGAATAATTTAAAATAAAAACAAAAATAAGCTTTTATTATGAGATAATATTTTTAAAACTAGAATAATTTCGTGAAAAATTAAAGTGATTATAGTGAAAAGAAATCCTGTATCCGTCCTCTTCGACCCTGACGAACTTCGTTAAACATTCACCGCTGTATCAGGGTCAACTATCACTTTTAAAGTCTTGCGGGAAATATTATACTCAGATTCAATATTATTTTATTGGTAGACTGAAACAAAAGATTTTTGACATAATTGACGATAAAGATTATTAGTCCATGTTTCTAAATAGGAAGTCAGTGCTAAAGAAGCGCGACATTTTGCGATATTAAATTTTTCTGGCGAATTTTCCCGACTTTTCAGGTTTATAAGTTCTATAACATATATATTAAAGAAAATTTGATGCGTGTCAATCCTCTTCTTTCAATAATTTAATCTATATTGTTATTGTTTTCCTTGTTCAATCGCGGTATAACAGCAAATGTCACAGCAAGTATAAATTGCCTTTTAAAGTTATTGTTTCGGCTGTCAAAATGTGTAAGGAAAAAGATTTGTCCGAGATTGAAGCCTAGAAACACTTAAGTTTATTGTCGATTTTGCGTGTTTGGCTATTTTCAATCCTAAACGCAAACCTAAACCGAAAACTACTAAAAAGAACTTACCGTGAGGAGTTCTGTAGTTATGCATTGCTCTCGCTGCAGCTGGGCTGGCATAGTAAGTAGCTGGATTGACTGGATTTCCATTACTATCCAAAGAATGGAAAAATACGTCGACATCGTCCGGTGCTAGAAGATTACCAGAACTTTCTAGTCCAGAACCCATTCGGGGAGCATCGTAAGGCCAGCGATGAGCGGGATGTCCACCTGATCCCTGACCTTGATCCGATGTGGTTACGTGTACATCCATAGTCCCTGTCTACCAGTTCCTCGATACACTCACTCTTGGACGTAACTCAGTTCACTAACCACATGCACAATCGGTAAAGTATCGGCTGTGGAGAGACTACGATATCCTGCCGGGCAAAGACGGCTGAAGGAGAGGACTAAAACTTGTGCCGAGTTTCAACGTCGGCTCTTCGGCTATCGTCCAATTTTTCCGGTCTAGGAGTCAATCGTTTGCTCAGTCTTGCACTACAAAGAAAAGTTCCAACAACTTTAAAATGAATTAATCAATTTACACCATATAAAAATAATAGAAACTTAATTCGAAATTCTACCGAACTCTAGTGGCAACGCAACAAAACAATAGAATCATCTTCATTAGCATTTAATCTTAAAGCGAGAAATTCATTTGCATTAAAAATTAACCAAATGCATATCTTACCGTTGTTTATCGAATGCTAGCGATCGATCATTCGCTTCGAAATCATATATTGTGCACATGCCCCCGGCGGATTGAGTTCCCTCATCTCAACAAGACACTTCCAAAACAAAGTTAATAAAGTGAAGTCACGACACTTCTAGAAGTCTAGACTGAAAAATAACACGACAGTCCGAAACAGACAGACCCCAATGGGATAGATATTCATCCCAGCAGTTCCTACACCTTAACTGCTCACCACGTTCCGCTGTCCATCAGAACAAAGACTGCCGTACCAGCCCTCCCGACCAATCTCCAATAGAAAACGTCCTTTCCGCGTGACGTCACGCTAGTATGGCGCTATTGGTCTAGCCACGTTGTGTTCGATTCGACGCACTGCTCGTTTCGATGACGGTTGCAGTCGATGCAACGGCAGAGTCTGTACTAGACATGCCGGGGTCGGTGTTCCCAGTCACAGTGCTTTATCGCTTCCATCTGCGGACTGGATCTAGAGGCGGAGTTTGCTGCCGTGACCGACACCAGAAGATCTCCGCCCCTAATTCATCAGTTCTTTCTAGCTGTCTTCTTTTGTCAGTTAAAACTAACAGAGGCGAGAGTAGCAGCTGGATGCTTAAGATGCGATCGGACTTTAGTAAACACGCAGCCACGTACACAACGAACGTTTAGCCCGAATGGATTAAACTTCATTTCTTATTCTACTTTTCATTTTAAATTTTCTCATTAATATACAAATATCTTTATAAACTAATTACATAAAATTTGAAATTTTTTTCCCGTCATTTTAATTGTCGAGATTGAAATTCGAATCAAATCTATACTTTTTAAAATAATTAACCGAAATTTAATTTCCTCTATTGTTATTTATAGTCTAAATATCTAGGGCAGAATTCGATGAAGAATAAAATATTCTCCTCCTCCCTCGAGTTTTCCAAGCAAAAATTTTGATCTGAATCAACGATGCATTAAAACCATCTATCTGCTGGCAACACTTTTGTTTGCTGACAATACGCTTTGTCATGCTTCACTGTCAACTTTGACTTTCTTTTCAGTACTTGCATAAATGCAATAGTCTAATAAATAATAACAATATTCGAGTCTATTGATTTCTGCTGCCAATCAGTTTTTGTTTATGTTAGCTGAGTTTAATTAACATACCGTATCACGTAAGGGATTAGCCTTGTCAAAATTTATTTTTTCTCAAAATAAACACTAGCATTAATAGAATTATTTATAGTCTTATTATTTCTATTGCAAATTCTTGAATTATTATTATTATTATTATTTGAAAAAGTGAGTCTATTTTGTTTTAAATGAATCAATTAAAAGTGTTTACTTTTATCAACTTTGCTATGAAATAATACAAATTGTTTTATAAAATATAATATGTAATTTATGTAGTATTTTAGATTCATACATTTCTAAACAAACATTAATATTAAAGATGAATTATATCACAACAGAATTTTATATTTTAAAATTTATTAATTTCCTCTCTCATCACAAAGAAATACTTTAGTATTGTTATAGTGTTTATCAATCCATGATAAAGACATTATCAATCTTAGAATATCAAATGATTCCCACGATCTTTAATAACTTATAAACTTTATAACCTACAATACATTCATCCAACTCCATAATTTGTTTTCGCTTTCTCGAAAACCTGGCTTCAAACTGTACCGTTTACGTATTTAACTTTGACAAACTGTCTAACTTGTCTACTTCACTTCCACAACGCCACATTGCCTCGCAAACGACGCCTCTGCTTAATTGGTAAGCCTTCAGGCCATTTCTTTATCCCTCCTTGTTTGACTGGGAATGTTACTGATTTGTGTCTCGACTCGCTCTGTTTTAGTTTGTCTTTTCAGAATGTTCTCGTTAGTCATTTGTTATCTTAACGATTATTAAATTAAATTATTTCGATAATTTTAATACGGATAAAAGTTTAAAAATCTCTCTACAGTTAAAAATTATTCAATATTAAATAAAATTAAGTTCAATTTAACTAATTAAAATACTTAATTTAGCGTATTGTTTGAAGAAAATTCAATTTTGACTAAAGTTAGAAAGCGTTATTTTTGATCATTTAAAATTCTCTTACCATTTAAATTGTATAATTTTTTAAAATATTAAACTAATGATTCTTTAATAATTAAATCAAATTTTTAATCTTTCGGTTATATCTCTTTAAACAGTTTAAAATCGTAAAAATTTTATCGTGCTTAGGTAATCTCTAAGCTTCATTTTTAGCATACTTTAACTTTTTTTTCACTCTTAATAAATTATTAGCATTATGTTGTATCGAAATTAAAACAATTATATACGATTTAAATAATTATATATTTATATTAGTAACTCTATATCATTTATTTTCTTTAAATTAAACTGATATAAAACTGAATGATATTCGTTTTTATTGTCGAAGAGACAAGATTGGCCCGGGGTAAAACTCCATATAGATAATTAAAAATCAGAATAAATGAGTGTAAGAATATTATGCAATAGCCAGAAGACTTGGACGAATGCGGTCTTCGGTGTTGAAGGTTAACCAATTCATTGGAGATTCACTCTTCGACAATTCAGGAAAATGAAGGTGCATCGGGTTGTCATGGTAACGTCACAGTGTTTCGTACTCAAGTGTATTGACCCAACAATATTTGTGATACTTTCGGTAAAACAGCACGTCAACAAAAATGTTCCATTTTTAACAAACTTAATATTTTATCGCATTGCAAAGAACTGATGAATTTAAAATTTTATAAAATCTTATCGACGTTTCTTCCAATACAATATATACTCTTGTCATTCAATTTTTTGGTCATATTTGTAGCCCCAAATTTATAGGCTCCATAAAAGTAAAGTTTACTGAACGCCCTTTCAACTTCACCTAGGAAAATGTTAGTCGATGGTATGACTTACGGAGATGCGAGAAGCAAAGAAGCGGTTATTCGGGATGTTATATCTTATGTTATAATGCATTAGATATTTCGTCGTTAATACACGTAATGATCAACATAATCAATGACATCAATAAAAACATGGCCGAATGTCACGTGTCTGCGGTGCCAAGATGGCGTCCAACACAATAAAGAAGATTTGTGTCTTGGTTATCTGGAATGTCACAGCTCCGGTCACAAATCTTATTTTAAGAGAGAACAGTAGAGAGGTGCTTGTAGCCTTAAGTCATTGTGGTTTGCCCTCTTAAACGAAAGAAATCTTCCCGCCGGGTAAAACTGATGGCTGCTTCAACTATTCGCAGATGATTCTGAATCTGTGTGGCATTTGTCTAGATTGTAGTTTTAGTAAATTAAATTATTGAACTAATTAATCTATCAGTTTATTCTACAGAAATAGACGTAAAATCTTACTTCTTTCAAAGACATTTTTATATACCAATACTAATTAATTTTAATTCAGATTATTTAATTGCGCTAATCCATATCTATTTATATGATGCAAAAATATACAATAAATTAATCAAAATTAATTCATTTTTTATTTACAAAAATGCAATTCTATATATTATTTATCTGATAATATTAAGTTTTATTAACAGAAACGTGCAAAATTGTAACCCATTCAAATTACTAGACAACTTGAAGCTCAGAGGCCTATAATATAATCATTTCCAAATAAATTTCGTAATTATTTGGAAATAAAATATTTTAATTATTTAGTAGCCGATATATAATTAAAAATTATTTATAAACACAATTGGAAAGAATAAAATAAGTAGACTTTTATATTAATTAATATAATCTACAATAGAATTTATTCTCATCAAAATTGAATAGATTGAAAATTGATCTAAAATGTATTGTAATTATAAGATTATTATTTTTATAAAAATAACACCTAAATATTTAATTATATTTTATTTTCTATAATTGAATTATTAAAAGCAAATGAAATTTTTTTAATAATTCAAAAAATACTAAACAAATTAATTTCAGTGTATAAAACAAAAGTACAGTAGACTACAGTTTATCATCAATTCTTAGAGGAGAGAACATTTTCATTATGAATAATTTCTAAGCGTTTTAAATAATTATCAGTACGCTATTTACTATTAAATTATATGAATTTTATTTTATATAAATCAAATTATTTTATTAATAATTTTAATTATTTTTCTATTTTGACCTATAGGCCTAATAAATAGAAATAAAAAGCTTACCATGAAAAAATTTTCTAGTTCTACTTTATATTTTAAGTTTCTTCTTTTTTTTTTTCTTTTGTTTGTTTTTGCAAATTATAGGTCTATGTTCTTCAGTAAATATCAAAAACCGGTTAGAATTTATAGTCATGTCATTGTCATAAAATAAAAGCAGTCTAAGGTAATGATTGTTAAATTTTGAGTGGATGATTCTCAACGAAGACATAAATCTTCGGTTTATGTTTATACTAAACACAATTCAGCACTCAAATAAGAATTTCGATTAAATATCAAGAGTAAAATTTTCGTTTTGTTAAATATCTATGGTAACATTTACAGCAGTGGGCCTAATTATATAGCCTATATAGGGCTATAGGCCTATATAGAGGCTTATACTGTAGTTGTTTTTTAAATTTTAATTTAATATATAAAAATATTTAATGGGATAAAAATGCATAGAAGCTTTTTGATTACTTTCAGATCACATTCGCCAAACATAAGAGGGCAAACAATGCTTAAAATAGTTAAAACAAACGTGGTTAGATGACATTAAGAATAAATAACATCTGAATCAATATTTTCGTAACGTAGTTAACAAGTGTGTATAGGAAAAATTTCGTAACATCGTTTAATTTGCATGCATTTTGTTTTTTG